AAATTTGTCAAAAATTCTAGCTAGTACTTTAATACAATATTTGTTTTTTATAATACAGTCTCAGCTGAAAACGGACCCCTTTCCCTTTTACGGAGGGTTTCTCTCAAATAACTTTTTGGAACATGTTCTGAATTTTATTTCAAAAATTTAAGCTGTCTATCTTTTTAAATCATAGTTCAAAATCATATTTACAGAAGCTTGGACCCTTATTAAGGTATTCACTTGTAGTGAAGAAAAATAAAAAGTGAAATACTTAATAGAGTGGTTAAATAGTTTTGAATTTGAGTGATTTTTTTTTTTCAAAGATGATTTTTGAAAGAATAAAATAATGAGTTCAAATATTCTATACTCATTTTTTGCATGGCCTATTTGTGACCTCTATCATGATCGACATGTGTTAATAAATTTAACTCTCTTTAACTTTCAATCAATGATACAGGTAGACCTTGCATTCATGTCATGTTTCTCGTGTTCGTGTCATACCCGATAGTTTAACGGGTTGTGTTGTGTAATACCCGTTAAAGTAAACGGGATAATATGTGTAGACATCGAAATTTCGGTAAATAAATGTTGACCGATAAATCAAAGTGTCAACGCTCATGTATTACATAAATTTTACACGTAGCGTGTGACTCAACGAAAATTGAAATGAGTTGGAAAAGTCATCAAATAGGACACGTGTCAACACCTGGCAGAAACGACTTATTTCATCTGGGATATTATATTCAAAATTAGGCCTTGGAAAATTCTATAAATACAAGCCCATTTCATTCATTTGAAGAAAACCAATTCATATTACACCTTGAAGCTCTGAAGCTCTGAAACCCCGAAGCTCTCAAGCATCTAGGTTCCCGAAGAATCAAGAAAGCCTTCTTCGTTCTTCGTTCTTCGTTCATCGTTCTTCCAAGATTAAGCCCCAACGGCCCTTTGGATCAACAATCATCCACCAATTCAAGATCAAGCCCCGACGGCCCTTGAAGAAAGTGTTCTTCGTTCTTCGTTCATCGTTATCCCAAGATCAAGCCCTGACGGCCCTTGGATCAACCATCCACCAATTCAAGATCAAGCCTCGACGGCCCTTGAAGAAAGCACCATCGTTCATCCAACAGTTCATCCAAGATCAAGCCTCAACGGCCCTTGGATCAACGAAACATCCACCTTCAAGATCAAGCCCAAAAGCCCTTGAAGATCCGTTCATCACTGTTCTTCAAGATCAAGCCCAAAAGCCCTTGGAGATCCGTTCGTCACTGTTCTTCAAAGATCAAGCCCAAAAGCCCCTTTGAAGATCCGCTCAAATCCACCTTCAAAGATCAAGCCCACGGCCCCTTGAAGAAACTTCCAACAGTTCATCCAAGATCAAGCCTCAACGACCCTTGGATCAACGAAACATCCACAAATACACACCTTACGGAGATCGAATCAGAGGATCAAAATAGAGAGAGATTGTAACCCAAAATCAAAAAATACATAATATTTGTTTGTGCACGTCGTTTCTTGTCTCTTTCGTTTCAGGAATTTTCCGTGTTCACAAATTGGCACGCCCAGTGGGACAATCTCTGCCTCTCATCTCTTTCTCCGTTCAAGAAATTCAAGCACGCTTCCAAAATTAATGGCATCAAGGAAGGCTCAAACTGTTCCCGCAACCGGCGCAAAGAACAAAAGCGTCCTCGTCGCAACTGGTGTCACTTTGGGCATCACGACTCGAAGCATGGCAAGAGCTACTTCTGCCGCCTCTTTCACCTCTGCATCAACTCTACCAAGGGAACAAAAGCACCCAAGGCACGAGCCTTTGATCACCTTAGCCTCACTAAGGGCACCAAGGGGGGAAAGCCCAAGGAAATACTCCGAATCCATGCTCTCCGATGCCGATTCAAGCGACAGTTCAGCCATGCAAGTCATGACCATTGGAGCAACTTCAATCGATGAGCAGCTGGCTCAAATGAATGAAGCAATCGCAAGGCTAACCCGAACTGTGGAAGAAAAAGACTTGCAAATTGCAGCACTAGTCAACCGATTGGAGGCACAAGACGGTGATAAACCCGACCCAGAGGATGATCCACTAAAGGGAGGAGCTGGCGGAGACGAAGAACCCCCGGTGAAGAAAATCGATGGGAAGCCGGAGCCAGACCAAGCAGCGGCACTCATGGGATCTCTTTCTATCCAGCAGCTGCAGGAGATGATCACCAACACCATCAAGGCACAGTACGAAGGGAGCTCACATACCTCCTTGTTCTACTCGAAGCCCTATTCCAAGAAGATTGATGCCCTAAAGATGCCAAGGGGTTATCAACCACCAAAGTTCATGCAGTTTGATGGAAAAGGAAACCCAAAGCAGCACGTTGCACATTTCGTCGAAACTTGCAACAACGCGGGGACGGATGGAGACTACCTCGCCAAGCAGTTTGTGCGCTCGCTGAAAGGAAATGCCTTTGAGTGGTACACGGACCTAGAGCCTGAGTCCATCAACAGCTGGGAGCAATTAGAGCGGGAATTCCTCAACCGCTTCTATAGCACCCGCCGCACTGTGAGCATGCTAGAGCTGACGAGCACAAAGCAGTGGAAGGACGAGCCAGTCGTTGACTACATCAACAGATGGCGCACTCTAAGCCTCGACTGTAAAGACAGGCTCTCGGAAACCTCTTCAATCGAGATGTGCATCCAAGGCATGCAATGGGGTTTGCAATACATCCTTCAAGGCATTAAACCGCGGACCTTCGAGGAATTGGCCACTCGCGCCCATGACATGGAGTTGAGCATCGCCCATCATGGGAAGAAAGAACCGATCGTCGACTACAAGAACGACAAAGTTCTTGGGACAAAGGTGGAAAAGGCTACATGGAAACCCACCAAGGAAGCGATGACGGTCAACACAGCTCCCGTCAAAATTCTCCACACGAGGCAAGGCGATTCAAACCGAAGCTTTTCGTGATCAAGAGATGCGTAGACGCACTTTGAAGGAGCTTGAGGAGAAGATTTATCCATTCCCCGACTCTGATGTGGTTGCCATGCTGGATGACCTGTTGGACAAGAAGGTGATCAGTTTGCCTGAGTGCAGACGGCCGGAAGAGATGAATCGTACCGACAACCCAAGATACTGTAAATTCCACCGCTTCATCAGTCATCCAACGAAAAAGTGCTTCGTATTGAAAGATCTCATCCTGAAGCTAGCACAGCAAGGGGAAATCGAGCTTGACCTCGAAGACACGGTTGCGGCACACACTACTACTATCGTGTTTGAATCACTCGATCCTGTGCATCTCCGAAGCATGCATGACCATTCCCATCAACGTTCAAGTCACATGGCACCTCCTACACAACCATCACTGGGGGCAAGCAACCAAGATGCATCTACTGGTGATAAGAAAGGGTGGACATCGGTGACCTACAAAAAAACGAGGAAGCCAATACCACAAGCCACAAGGCCAAAAGATGAGCCTAAACCCGCCCCTCGAACTTCAGTCTTCGAAAGGTTGAATTATTCAAAACCTAGAATTGCAGCACTTGATCGCATCAGTGGTCGAGACCAAAATTCCGTCTTCAAAAGGCTTGAGACGCCAACACCGCAAAGATCAGTCTTTGAAAGGTTATCAAAACCCAAGAAACAAAGCGGCACAGCTAGATCTCCTCCGCAACGGTCGGCTTTGGACAGACTTGAAGAAACTAAGAAGCCTTCTAGAAACAGGAAGACAACGCCAAAGGGAGAGAAGCTCGACAGTCTAGCAGGAAAAGACGATGTTCAAAGTTTGATTCCTTCAAGGATGAAGCGCCAAGCAACTTTGGAAGTCGACACAAAAGGACCACTAAAGGTAAGGAGGCGCACCATCATCTACACCGGCCAATCTTCACGGCAACAAACCCAAGAGGATCGCACTGAAGAAAAGGCCCAAGAAGACAAAGAAGACGAAACCCTGGAAAAAGACGTCACTTCCGGCTCTGTCAACTCAAAATTTTCACCTCAATCGCTGGGGGCATGCTCCAAAAACATGCCAGTCAAGCCGAGTGAAGTTGAAGGATGGACTTATGTCACTCCGAAGAAATTGCACAAGAAGCATATGTCTTCTCCACAAGCTCACCAATGGGAAAGGGGGCAAAACAGCTCATGTTCACCTCTAGAACAATGTGAAAGTGTTGGAGATAATGAAACTTTGACGCGAAGATCATCCATCCCCATCACGATGTGTGACATCTTCCCAGAAGACTTCTTCAACTACTCAGTCAAGGCTCCTTGCTATGAAGATTGCGAGGAACGACTCTCTCAGATCGCTTGACGACACAAGGCTCCTCGCCTGCATGAGCCTAAACTGCATGGCACAATGCTCCTGGTCTGCACGAGCATAAAAGGCAACACTAACGCTCACGGTCTGCACGAGCATAAAATGCGACAACCCAACGCTCATTGCCTGCACGAGCTGAAACTGCAACACGGCACCAAATGCTCCTTGTCTGCACGAGCATAAAATGCGACAACCCAACGCTCCTTGCCTGCACGAGCTGAAACTGCAACACGGCACCAAATGCTCATTGCCTGCACGAGCTGAAACTGCAACACGGCACCAAATGCTCTTTGTTCGCACGAGCCTAAAACTGCACGAACCAAAGCTCCTGGTCTGCACGAGCATAAAAGGCAACACCAAAGCTCCTGGTCTGCACGAGCCTAAAAGGCGACAACACCAACACTCCTTGCCTGCATGAGCTGAAACTGCAAACGGCACAAAAAAGAAAATACCAAAAAATATATGTATGTATTTGAACTACGTTTCGACTTGATCTCTTTGGAAGGGTACGTAGGCAGCTTGAATATTCAATTTCAAGTTCAGTCACAACAAATAAAAAAAAAAATTAATAATAATGTTTTATTAGAACAAAAATATACATATGTTTTATGTATTTAAAAAAAAAATGTATTTATGTTAAAGTAGTCCGTGCCAAATCAAAGAAACATAAGTTAAAGTACACAGAAATGAGCAGCCAAAATCCAGGCCCAAGCCATGCCCTCTTGACCTCCATCGGATCCTATGCCTAATGGGCCCTCTCGCCCTATTTTTTTTCACTGTCTGAAGTCACACATTTACACCAACACAAGCGCAGAAACACCATCCAGAGAGGAGAGAGACCCGAAAACCCGAATCGCGAACCCGGAAAAAATGGGCAAAGATCTGAGCGATGACCAAGTATCGTCGATGAAGGAGGCGTTCACGCTCTTCGACACCGACAACGACGGCAAGATTGCTCCGTCGGAGCTCGGGATCCTAATGCGATCGCTCGGCGACAACCCGACCCAGGCCCAACTCAAATCCATAGTCGTCGAGGAGAAGCTCACCGCCCCCTTCGACTTCCCTCGCTTCCTCGACCTTATGGCCAAGCACATGAAGCCCGAGCCCTTCGATCGCCAGCTCCGCGACGCCTTCAAGGTCCTCGACAAGGACTCAACCGGCTTCGTGTCCGTGTCGGAGCTCCGGCACATCCTCACCAGCATCGGCGAGAAATTGGAGCCGTCCGAGTTCGACGAGTGGATCCAGGAGGTGGATGTCGGGTCTGATGGCAAGATCAAATACGAGGACTTCATTGCCAGAACGGTGGCCAAGTGAGGGACGTAACGGTGCGTTTTGCATGGGTGAAAGTGTTTCGTGGAAGTAATTTGGGGGTAATCGACGATTCGATTAACTTAGGCGACACTCGCATCAGCTCGCCCAGGCGGTCATGGAGCTCAAATTGTAGAACAAATTCCTCAAATCTCAGTTCGAATGGTTCCAGAATCTTCAACTGCCAAAGCACGGAAACCAATCATGGAGCTCGATCGACTTGAACGAGTGCAAAGTGTACAAAGCCGAGTCGGTCGGTGAGCCCACTGGTAAAGCCGCCGTCGCTGTGTCAACTCGGACTGATGACAAACGACATCAACAACGCAGAGCACGATGAGCAAGGTCAAGGTCAAAGTTAAAATCAACAGAAGGAGATTTAGATTCAGGGCTGAGCCGGGACGAGATTTCACCTCCATCGTCAGATTTGAAGCCTCGAAACTCGCGAATCTCCTCCATCTTCTTCCCGGTCGTCTGCCCGGCCGTGGTGTCGCTCAGCGCAACAACCATCAAGCCCCTATCAACAAATTGAGGACGACGACCACGCTTCCTTGATCCACGACTACCGATCCAAGATCGAGACCAAGCTTCTCCACCTCCTTCCTTTTTTTCTTCATCGTTTTCATCAACATAGGTCTGAGACAAAGTAGTCCTCCATATGAGAGATTTCTGCCACTCTGCTTCTCTTCTCCGTCGCTGAAATGTTGAGCTTTGAACTGTTTTGATCGGGTTCGAGCTTGATTTGATAGGATTCGTCGGTTCGGTCTTTTTTCTCGCGTATTTGGTGTTTGTGGGCTTCTGGGTCTACCTCTGCTACACCAACAAGAGATCCGTGCACCGCATCCATCTTCTGATGAGCGGATTGCTTTTGATGAAGGCGTTGAATCTGATTTACGCGGCGGAGGACAAGCACTACGTGAAGGGGAAGAAGAAGTTCGTGAAGCAGATGACCCACGGGTCCAAGAGCCACAGAGCTCTCGGGTCTATCGGTGCCGGAACCGACGCTATCCCAACGACCTCTCCCGAACTTCTTACTGCTCGTCAAACGTTCAGCCCTACTCCGGCTCTCTCGCGCCACCTTCCTCCGTCATCCATCTTCGTCCTCCCGCCACCGTCGGATCGTTGGTTGTCTCAGGATACAACACCGTGTCGAGCGTGAGCGTGCTCCTTCTTCCTCCACAGCAGCGAGTAAATGACAGCCATCGTCACGGTAAGTGCAAGTAGTCATGAACATTTCCTGAATTGAGGTTGAGTTTCCAATGAAGGATGGACTCTTCATCACCATCTCTGCAGCTCTCCCCTTCTGCCCATCAGTTCCAAGCAGCAACGGCGACGGCAAAGTCTCCGACATCAAGGCTGCACCGCTCTTCTCTTGCATCCTCATCCGTCTCTTGCCTCGCAGCTGCCAACAACTTCAAAGACCGCTGTCAAACGACTAGCCGGCCGAGAAGATCTTCTCCGTCCTCCTTGCTCCGCTCCCTGCAAATTCCTCTACCCACCATCCTAATTTATACAGAAAGAAATACAATTAAAAAAAAAAAAAAAAAAAAAAAAAAGAGGTGGTAGTGCATCTGGCACCACGTGAAAAAAGAGGAATGGTGGATCAAAGATGGGGTACAGCCCCATGGCAGATCAAAAGTTTCTGGTGGTGCATGGGCAAAATAATAAAAAAAAAAAATGATGGAACTTGGTGCATCCAGCACAAAAAAAAAAAAAAAAAAAAAAAAAAAAAAAAAAAAAAAAAAACGCATAGAGAGAAATAGAAGGTCCATTTTATTTAGTTTTCTGGAAATTTTACATAAATTAAAAAAAAAATAAAAAAAATCAAATCAAATCAAATTTACAACAGGGGATATTCAAGGACGATCAGGTGGCGCCTCACAACTTGGCAGAGCTCCAGGAAGAGAAGGCGTCAGAGGTTGGCTGTTTGAAGCCTCAGCAGTCGGTACAGCCCCAGAAGACGAAGGTAAATGCTGCTGGAACAAACCCACAAACCTCTGATGATCAAGTAAAATCTGACCATCAGATTCTTGCATCTGGTCAATCTTCCTCTTCATGTTTGTCGCATAGCTATGTGCGAGCTTATGCAACTGTTTATTCTCCTGCTTGAGCCCTCTAATCTCCTGTTTGAGACTCATCACTTCCGCCGCCAATGATTCAACTTGACGGGTTCGAGCAAATAGGCGTTGGGCCATATTAGACACGGAACCTGCACACTGAGGGCCAGAGAATCCTTAACAGCCAACTCATCAGACCGTTTGGAAAGTAGTCTGTTATCTCTGGGAGTGACAAGGTTTCGGGCCACCACCGCAGCGGTCATATCATTCTTCATCACCGAATCCCCAACAGTAAGAGGACCAGTAGGGGATATGAAGGATGGGCGCCATATGTTATCTGGAGAAGACGGGACTACCTCTTCACCAAGGTTCAAATCAAAACGACGGTCGGAGGGTCCAGACATTTTCAAAGGTGTTGAAGAAAGAAGAGGTCGGACAAATCAAGATCTTAGAAGTGCAAGAAGGGAGTTTCTACAAGCGAAAATTCAAGTGTGCTTTGAAACGAACAGCGTGCCTCTATAAAAAAAAATCAGCACTCGACGGGATTTCAGAGGTCGAAGAGGCGAGCTCAGAATTCGAAGAGGCCATTCAAAAATCGAAGAGGCAAGCTCAGAAATCGGAGAAGCATCTTGCTTTTCCAGACGCGTCGACACCCGTCACACGCAAACTCAGCTTTGCGGAAATCACGGGTAATTTGTCGAAGCGCCAATCCCAGATATCGAAGAGGCGCCAGTCTTTTTCAGCCGCGTCATCACTTGTCATATGCACACTCAACTTTGCGCAAATCACGGGTAATTTGTCGAAGATTTTCGGTGAAGGAGAAAGCACGTGAAGTTTACTGTTCAATCACGCGTTAGTTGCCGACACGAGTGAAAGAACAGTACCTCTACAGGTACTAAAGAAATTCCTATAACTGTCCACCTTCACCCTTCATAGCAAGGCAGACATATAGAACCTTTCTTCATCTCTGAGAATGCCTTTCCAACGAAGCCTCTCGGGTCACTCAGTGTTCCTTATTCCTTGGGGTACCTCTGCAAGCCAATGACTCCAAAGCAAAAGTATCTCATATCACCAGGGTAGAAAGCAAGAGTATCTCATATCATGCGTTCTCCCTGTCATTTCCTTTGTCCTTGTTCTTACCTACAAAGACAAGGATAAAGAAAACAATATGCCGGAACTTCCACTCAAACTCGGGTAAGGAACCGACTGCTTGGAACCCTTCCCTGATTGCCTACCTAGCACTGCTCTCGAGTACTCGTTTCCCACTGCTGCTATACTCCCAACGAGGCTACCACATCTGCCTAAAGAATAGATAAGGCAAGCGAAAATGATACCTTGCAGCATGTGGAGACAACGTGCAGAAGGAGCAAGCAGAGAAGAATGCGGTCTGCACAGTCAACTCAGCATAAGGAGTCCGAACTGAGGAACTCGAGAAGCTGCCACATCTGCCTGAAGAAACAAGCAGAGAAGAATGCAGCATGCACGGTCAACTCAGCAGAAAGAGTCTGAGATGGTGAACTCGTTTTGACCCTCAAATTCTTGGGTCGACCTACTAGGCGTTGTAAGTTGCACGTGTCGATTCACCACTCTTGAATCGAATCTTTAAAGATCAAGTCACCGACTGGAAGAAAAGCCCATCAATCTTGAAGATCATACCGTTGACCAAACCGCTCAGGTGTGAATTAGAAAGATTGAACAAAGAAACAGGTTGTCACCTTTACCTCGTGCCTGCTTGCCATGTGTTCGAGTCAACCTTCAAGAATCAAGCCTCAACGGCCCTTGAAGAAGTTTCCAGCCAAATTCAAGATCAAGCCTTGACGGCCCTTGAGGAAATCACAAGTCCAATTCAAGATTAAGTGTCTACCACCCTTGAATCAAAACCTAGTTCAAGAATAAGCTGTGGAAAATCAACAATTGGAGGAATCCAGAAAATCCTTCAACCCAGTTCAAGATTAAAGCTGTGGAAAGTCAACAAGCGCACCAAAACACGTGCCGATTCACCCACTACCAAAGCCAAAGATCATCTACCACATGAAGCTCCTTGTGGTCCAATTTCAACCTTCAAGATCAAGCCTTGACGGCCCTTGAAGAAATTTCAAATAAAAGTTCAAGAACAAGCCTCAACGGCCCTTGAAGAAATCTCCAGCCCAATTCAAGATCAAGCCTCGACGGCCCTTGGATCGACATCTACAGTAAGGGACTTCAAAACGCATCTCCTACACGTGACAATCACATGTATACGACGCGCCTTGAAGTGGGGGCATTTGTAGACATCGAAATTTCGGTAAATAAATGTTGACCGATAAATCAAAGTGTCAACGCTCATGTATTACATAAATTTTACACGTAGCGTGTGACTCAACGAAAATTGAAATGAGTTGGAAAAGTCATCAAATAGGACACGTGTCAACACCTGGCAGAATCGACTTATTTCATCTGGGATATTATATTCAAAATTAGGCCTTGGAAAATTCTATAAATACAAGCCCATTTCATTCATTTGAAGAAAACCAATTCATATTACACCTTGAAGCTCTGAAGCTCTGAAACCCCGAAGCTCTCAAGCATCTAGGTTCCTGAAGAATCAAGAAAGCCTTCTTCGTTCTTCGTTCTTCGTTCTTCGTTCATCGTTCTTCCAAGATTAAGCCCCAACGGCCCTTTGGATCAACAATCATCCACCAATTCAAGATCAAGCCCCGACGGCCCTTGAAGAAAGTGTTCTTCGTTCTTCGTTCATCATTCTCCCAAGATTAAGCCCTGACGGCCCTTGGATCAACCATCCACCAATTCAAGATCAAGCCTCGACGGCCCTTGAAGAAAGCACCATCGTTCATCCAACAGTTCATCCAAGATCAAGCCTCAACGGCCCTTGGATCAACGAAACATCCACCTTCAAGATCAAGCCCAAAAGCCCTTGAAGATCCGTTCATCACTGTTCTTCAAGATCAAGCCCAAAAGCCCTTGGAGATCCGTTCGTCACTGTTCTTCAAAGATCAAGCCCAAAAGCCCCTTTGAAGATCCGCTCAAATCCACCTTCAAAGATCAAGCCCACGGCCCCTTGAAGAAACTTCCAACAGTTCATCCAAGATCAAGCCTCAACGGCCCTTGGATCAACGAAACATCCACAAATACACACCTTACGGAGATTGAATCAGAGGATCAAAATAGAGAGAGATTGTAACCCAAAATCAAAAAATACAAATATTTGTTTGTGCACGTCGTTTCTTGTCTCTTTCGTTTCAG